ACATTCATCCAAACGACTGTTGTCGTAACACTGCTTTCATAGTGTCGAAAGCCTAAGATCTTTAGTTTCTTGAACAAATATTTATGTATGACAATTTGTTCATAATTATCACCTACAGCCGAGTGGGGATATTATCACTTCCGGTTCCTGCTGTTCGCGCTCTATTCACGTTTGGCCACTGGTTACATAACGGCGTAAGTTAATCAGTCGTCCAACAAAGCATTGCTAAGAAAATTTGACGCTTGGTAAGCATTTACTTTTCACCGTCAATTACGAGAGCACCCTTCTTTACCTGACCTCAGTTTTTTGTTGCTGCAAGGAATGGAATATTTTTTATGAGACTTGGCCATTTTTCTACGTAGCAATTGCACAATATTTTCTTCCTCGAACTTAGATGTATAATCACATCTATTTCCTGATCCAAAACGTTATATTGGCTAAATGTTTTCAAAACTACGAATCATTTTGAATTTCCTCTACGTGCTCAAAAATTCGACTTTAAAATAATTACTATATATCTCATCAGTTTTTTATATCAATTTATTTCAGACGTGGTTTGTGATCCAATGGGTGGCTCCGGTTCTATAATCATTGAAGCTATTCAGTCATGGCCTAACTGCTATTACATTGTTGGCGACCATCATCCGATTGGCATAGAAAAATGCTTGATAAACCTCAAAACGCTGCATACCGATGACCGTGGAAAAATCGACACGTTTCTATGGGATGCCACGAAGTTGCCTCTACGAACTAACAGCGTCAGCTGTTTTGTTTCAGACTTACCTTTTGGCAAACGGATTGGTTCCTTCGCGAACAATAAGGTTTTGTACCCAAAAGTCTTAGAAGAAATGGCCAGAACGGCAGAGGTCAAATACTGTCGCGCCTGTCTGATGACCAACGACAAAAGAACAATGATCCGCTGTCTAAAAGGCATCGGCTTTTACTGGAAATGTTTAAAAGTGATCAGCATCAACGTTGGTGGCTTGAAGCCATGCATCTACATTTTACAGAGGACAACGGCTTTGTTTCAAAGAAACTATGCCTCACCTGACTCCCATCCATCAACAACTGCTTTCTGTTCTTAGTTTAAATTTTTGGTTCCTTCAGTCAAATACACTGTAATGTTCAAGATAAGGTTCGTTACTAAAATACAGGAGCCATAGTCAATTTCAGTTACAACAGTACCATACAGAACAGCTGATCCATGAACTCCCCGCATCTTTCCATTTTGACAACAGAGAACCAGCTTGTTACTATGCACAATTGGTACAAAAATACAGTAATTCCCTAACTTAGCGAATTTGGAGTTACGCGGTTGATTTTTTCGTTTGGTAATACTGCCGCCCGCTATTTTCAGTGTTTCTCTTGTTGTGATACGCATTGGACGCGTTTTGCGCGAACTCTTCATGGACGATTACGATTTTACAATCGTTAAGATTGTTTTGTTATACATTTTCTAAACCCTTAAAAAAAACTGTCGTCCGAAACAAATAGATCTGATTCTCCTGCACCTAGTAAGAAAAGGAAAACGATATTTTAAGAATGTAAAGTTAACATTATCAAGGATTTTGATAGCAGAATAAAAATTTGTGAATTGGCGAAAAAGTATGAGCTATGGGAATCGACAGTACATAAAAGATAAAAAAACAATTCTCGATGCAGTGAAAAATGCTCAAGCCCTGAACTCAAGCATAATAGCATAAACGTCATGGCATTATTGCTGAAACGGAAACAACGCTTAAATTATAATGTAATAATCAAGTAAAAGAGAAGAACTGTCCTGTCGATCAGAACCTATGTGCAATCAAGCTAAGCTGATTTTTGAGAAGTCGAAAGATGCTGGGGAGGCGGCGAAGATTAAAACTTTGTACGTAGTAACGGTTGGTTCAACCGATCTAAAACTTGCTGTAATTGGCACAGCATGGCGGAAAGTGGAGAGGCGGCAAGTGCCGATAAAGAAGCTGGGTCTTCTTTTCCTGAGACACTCAAGGCCATGACAGAAGGCGACTGTAGCAGTGAAACCATACTGAACGTGGATGAGACTGACTTGTACTGGAAGAAGATGCTTAAAATGACTATTACCGCACGTGAAGAAAAAAGATTTCCAGGCTTTAAGGTTTCTAAAGATCGACTAATGGTTGGTGGGAATGCAACTTAAAACTTTTCTTAATTTACCGCTCTGAAAACCCGTCTTTAAAAATATATCTAAAATCAGATTTCCAGTGATTTTGAAGTCAAATCATAAAGCTTTGGTGACAGCTTCCGTTTTTCAAGACTGGTTTGGTCATCACTTCATACCCGAAGTCTAACTTTATTGAAAGTCCAGCTTCCATTTAAACTGATGCTTCTTACCGACAATGCACCATGCCACCCTCCTACTACGCTAATTGATTTCGAACCACGTGTGAAAGTTGTTTTTGCCTCTAAACACAACCAGCCTGCTTCAACCGATGTACCAGGGAGTGATCAAAACATTCAAGGCTTACTACACGATGCGTTCGTTTGCATATCTGAAAGAAGCTATGAAGCAAAACAGTGAGATGTTAGACTTCGAGAAACAATTCAATTTTTTTAATTCCGTAAGAATCATCAAAAAATCTTGGGAAGAAATTTTCAAAAAAAACTGAATGGTGTCTGGAGAATAGTCTTTTTTCAAAAACGAGACGGAAACCGCCAGAAATCGATCATGTCGCTCATGTGATAGAAGAAGTTGTTAGTTATTCTCGCCAGGCAATTAGATTGGAAGTCAATGGTGATGATGTCAACAAGTTGTTTGATTCACATGGTAAGGAGCTGACAACTCATGTTCACAGAGATCTGTTAGCAAAGTGCTACTGAAGTATTCGACACTTCAGATTCAGTTCCATCAGAAAAGCACATGACAACTGCAAGCTTGAGAGGTCTCAGCTGAAATGAAAAAAGCTTAAAAATTTTAGAAAACAGACTCGAACGAAGAACGTGCTATAGCCACAAAGTAACGAATAAAAAATAAATTGCTTGCTACGAAGAAATTCTGCGTGAATAAAAGAAAGCATTGTGTCGTCAGACGAATTTTAGATTTATGAAGCCATAGACATCGAAATACATTTTTACGTAATTCATTTAGTTTTTTAATATTTTGTATTATGTACAAAGGACTGCAATTTAATAAATATTTTTCTTCTAAACTAGCGATTTTGTTGGTCCTTGGTCCCAATTAAACAAAATTTAGATGTATTTAAGATTTGAACACCGACATGCGGAGTCGACTTAAGGCGATTTTCGTCGGACACACCTATCGCGTAACTTCGGGGTATTACTGTACTGGGTTACATATATAGCTTAGTCTGAAGGCTCTTTTATTAATCTTAGCCGTACTAATTTTGTTTTACTAGGATCCGCATCTGACAAATGATGCCTAGGTAAACTTTTGATACACGTCTGAGCTGTTTTACGATGAAATCTTTCTGAAAAGAGACAATGAACAGATTACTGAACACGTCACGTTGACGCGGCTTAAAATCTGGGCAACTGGTCTTGCCTCGGTGATGTAATAAGGTCATTGACAAAATCTCAAGCCTATTGCTTCCGCCACATGGTTTCTGCCGTAGGCAGCGGTAGTTAGCAATATAACGTATTTATCATAAGGTAAAATATAGGTAATATTCGAATTCATTATTACTCGTAATTATGCGTAATGCTAAACGTTACACCAGTTATTGCTGTGGCGAGCAGTAACTTTACTAGTAGTACGCTTCGCATGGTTGTAGCCACGAATTTTAATTCTGTACAATAATATTTTAAAATGTCGCGTATTTGCTTCATTAACCCCATTTCCTTGCTGAAAATTACCCGTCTAAGTGGCCGATGCATGTACTCAATAGAAAACCACGTACCATACGAAAGCTGTCAGATTACACTGATTTGCACAACCAGAGTACAGCATGAAATGGTATAATGGATTGATTACTTACAACAACTTTGATTAGCCTTAGTAAAATGGTTGATATGATCAACACACGTAGGTGGCATCAGCGAAACTCAATCAGCCGTATATAAGGTGAAAAAATCAGATCAGTAGCCGTAACGAATGTCCCATGATAAAAGTAGCCTTAATGTTAATGTACAGTCTATGAATATCTGATGCCCTGGAACATCGTGAAGCCCATATCGACAGCTTATGTAAGTACCGTGAGCAAAGTAATTTCAAAGCACTGTGCAACAGTGCGATACAAATGAACCGCTGCTAAAAACCAGCGGTCTGACAGGACTGTGAGAAAAACTGAGACTCGGTTTGGTAAGTGGCTAGAAAACGGAATAAAGTCTTGTTTAAATTTCTCTCCAAAGAGAGTCAACAATTGGTCGCAGATAGAATGGGGCACAGTGTAAAATATGTTCACACGTCGCTGAGAAAGAGTTGCTTTACACTGGAAAGAGAACTTTCATCGCTGCATCGACCAATACATAAAGTCCTAACCTCAATGCGAGATACCATTTCATATGGGAGAGACATTCCCAAACCGGAAAAACGTCATTTAGGCTTTATTATCTTCAGATGATAAAAACTGGGCTACTCGAAATACTTCTTTCAATTTAATAA